TGAGAAGTTCTTTGAGGTGGGGGGGGGGGGCATGTCCATGGATACATTGGTGTGTGAGGAGGGAAACCTTGTACTCAATCTTGGTGGAGACGGGAAGCCAGTGGAGTGAGTAGAGGATGGAAGTGATGTGCTCATGTTTCCGCACTCTCATCAGGATCCTAGCTGCAGAGTTTTGGATGCACTGAAGCCTCTGCAGGCTCTTGCTAGGAATCCCGATGAGAAGTGCGTTACAGTAATCCAGTCTGGAGGAGATAAAGGCATGAACCAGCTTTTCGGCATCTTGTTTGCAGTCCGCACTTCACATCCACGTTACAGCTGCGTAGACTATCAACAGCAAAAGTAACATAAGCGGGTTGTGCAGCAGAAACAACCATCTGTGTGTATTTGCCTCAAGGCTTTTTAGTAAATGGAATTATTCGAGTAACTTGAGCAATTGTTTCAGCCCTGTTGTACAACGTTTGTATTCTTAGCAGCTATAATTAGTTTGTATTTAGTGTAATTAAAATAAGTTGCAATGAGTTCACTGCTGACACCCTTTCACTGTGGGGGAGAAGTAATTCCTTCACTGGACTGGGTTTAAGCTGCTGATAGTGCTGCCTCCTATTTGCTGCTATGATTGCAGATACTCTGCACCAGCTGCTGTAAACACGGGGCTACTGCAAGTGCAATCTAACCTTAAAAAAGACCATCACATACTGATTCTATCTGATATGTAATCACAGTCAGTACTTTCATGAGTACAAAAGTGCTACAGATGTCTGAGAAGTTCTGCCAAGTTGTGTAAGTGAGTATAAACACTCCCATGTGATGGTTAGGGGCTTTCATACTCCATATGTTCTCCTGGTGTACCTCCTGGTGTTGGTTTTGTAAACAAAGGCCTACGTGGAGCTCTGATTCTCGAAATAGCCTGTACCTTTGACCCATTTGCAGAGCAGACTTTTTCCTGAGAAACTGACAGAGCCTCACACACAGTATATGTGGCCGTGGGCTCACGTATGTGCAGCCTCGTCTTGGCAGTCGTCTACATGTGTATGAGCTGGCTGCCAGAGGAAAGGGGGGGTGTCTACAAGAGCAAGAGCGAAGCAGTTGGTGAGATACTGCTCCCTCTGGGCTGACGCTGGGTTGTCTGTGTGGCAGATTAAGGAGCCCCCTCAGCTGTATAAATGTCTAACCTTAAAAAAATCGAATATTGTGCCGTTATATGAACAGCTAGGTTCAAACAAAGTGTCCTGTCTCCTTAGTGGATCCACTTGGCCTCCTCCTGTCAATCCCAACATGTGTCCACATACTGCAGGTCTGAAAGCACATAAGGTGAAAGGTTTAGCTAACTTGTGAGAGAGTGAAACATGAGTTTGTGAATGACTGCTGGATGATGGATAGGTGAAAGGGGAGGAGGTGTCAAGGATTATCTAACACAGTGCAAACAATTTATGGCCTGTAAAAGAAGTTAAACTGCATTAGAAGCAACATGTGTAAATAGTGTTGGTGGGAGCTTTTGACATTGTAACAACATGTTCAGTTGTTTGAGGTGCGAGATATTATTCAGACTAATGCGGGATTTATACTTCTGTGTTGAACTGATGCAGTTAACTATGCTGTAGCCTGACACGCACCTCCCATGTTGCGGCAATGCAAACCCCTTGTTTGAAACCATTTCCCTCAGTGGAAACAAAGCTTTGATTTACTTTAATTTCACAGATAAGAAACAATAAATTGTGAAGACAATAAAGCCTCCACAAAAATAGCATTTTATGGCCTGTGTGTGATTTATCCTGGCTTCATATGAGCAGAGGAAATCTCTGCTAGCTGCTAGGCTAATTTATACAATGTAAAATGCCATAGACTTGTGCTAATAACGTTAGCATGTTGTATTTGTTTGGAAAATATGTTTATTATAAGACAGTTGTTTTGTCAGTGAATGCTGCGAGTTATAGTGAAGATGATTTGTGTACTCGTGTTTGAAACTGACTCCATTAAGCCATGTTTAACGTGTGTTTAATGTGTGTTTGTTGTGTGTTTTGAATGCTTGTGATGCTTTCGAGGAAAATACGCCTCATTTCCCTAAAGACACATTCCCTTGTTTCTTCTCTCTTCAAATCTAACCCTTGCATCTCTCCCCTATGTCTTACGAGTACAGAGCTAAGACACAAGGAAGAGACACAGGTGAGGGAAACATGGATGTGAGATCAGGTATTGAAATGAACCCGTGGACTAACGTGTTGGTATGATGGACAAGTCATGTAGCTAGAGGGCGGGTCACATAGCTGTACCTACTCACAGTAATCCATCTCCGTGGTGTCACTGCTGCAGGTCTACAGTGTGTACCTGCATTATAGCCTGCAACATGTACTTTATGTCATACCTCATCACTCATATTTACCTGTCAACTAACAAGACAGGCAAACTCTAAAGTTCCTACGGGGGTATTACAGTCAAAACAACATTATCTTACTTTTTAAAGCACCTGTTTACATTTAAAAGTTTAGAGTTTACAGAGTGCAGCAGGGACGACAAAGAGCCAACAGGATTTTTCCACAAGGCTTTTGGATTATTGCAGAAAATAAGCTCTGTGGTAAACAACATTAATGATATTTACACGTTTTGTTCAGCAAGATAATCCTAAGAAAGCCACTTATGATTTCTGAAGCATAAATGCAGTTGTCATAAGCAAAAACCTGAAGCTATAATTGAACTACACTGCGATCACTTGACTTCAGTGTTGTCGTTAAGCATTTCAACAACAATAATCAATCAATTTCACAATCATTTAACCTGAAAAGCATCCCAGCTCCGACCTCCTCATTCGCAAACTATTTCATCCCAATTTAAGATCTCTCACAGAGGTTCCATGTTATGGAATTCTCTTCCACCCCACTTTGTTAAACTTTCCTATGAATCATTTAAAGAATCTGTGAAACATTTCTTGCTATATCAGTAACAATGACCTGATCTCTGTATCTGTGCGTGCGTGCGTGCGTGCGTGTGTGTGTGAGTGTGTGGGTGTGAGTGTGATATCATGCCTTTATGCACATGACAATGTCTAATTTAATGTTTATTTAGGGAAGTCCTCTTGTCAAGCCCCTTGAGGGTTTTTTGGACCTCTTTGCATGTTCCCCATTGTTCTATTTTTCTTTTTAAATTTTTCTTAAAAAGAAGTTCTTATATCACCGACTGTAAATTGTTTTAATGGTAATTGTATTACTGATTGTCAATTTTTTTATGGTAATTGTAATGTTGACTTTTTTTAATATGTGCTAAATAAACAAACAAATATTTACGTAAAGATTGTTGACATTTGTGAATCGATGCCGAATCGTCCATGTTCACATTGCGATGCATCTAAGAACTGATTTTTCTCCCACCCCTAGTTGGTGGGTTTGTTTTGTTCTAGTGGTAGGCGTGTTGTGTACGTGATAAACTGAATGTGTCTGCAGGTTACATGTCTTGATGACTCTGTCACTGATTAGCGCCTACACCGTTGTGAGCATTTATACTTGTCACAATGTAGTTACACCTCCAAAACACTAGTTGGCGGTGGGGTTTCTGTGAAGTGCTGTAAAGTTTAGTTGATTCAAAACACACATTAAACATGTCTTAATAGAGACAGTTTCAAACACAAGTACACAAATCAGCTTCACTATAACACGCAGCATTCACAGACAAACACTTGTCTTTATCTGGACACATTCTCCCCACAAATACAATGTTTTTAGCACAAGCCTATGGCATTTTACATTGTATAAATTAGCCTAGCAGCTAGCAGACTTTTCCTCTTCTCATATGAAGCAAGGGACAACAGCAATATTTAACAAAGGTAACGCTACAAAATTCAGCTCCATTACAACTCACAAGGTTCAGTAGCCATTTTTCCATCAGCCCGTGTAGATGCACATCTAGAAGTATCACATTGGAAAATTATGATGGAAACGTCAAAATTCGAATTAAAATCCCCTGATTCGCACAAACTAAAATACGCTCGCTTTAGCCGGGTTTTGGTTGATTTGAAAAAATGTTGATTCGCAAAACAGGGGATGGAAACAGTTATGTTTGAATTAAGTCTGACGTAGCGCACCTCTCTCCATGGTGATATCCACACTCCGGGTTGGGAAGGCGGTAATGCATTTACAAGCTGGTTGCCAACCGCCAGAAAATGTAGAAGAAGAAGAATGTGAGACTTGTTTTGTTCCCGGTTCTGCGGAAAACTCACGCGAGTTCGTAGTTTTCACCAAAGTCCGTAGATTTGATGGAAACACACAGGATTTGTTTTTCTTTTAATGCACATTTCCCAATGATTCAAATCACTTTTGGATGGAAACAAAGCTACTGACAAAACAACTGTCTTATACTAAACGCGTTTTCCAAACAAATGCAACATGCTAACGTTATTAGCACAAGCCTATGGCATTTTACATTGTATAAATTAGCCTAGCAGCTAGCAGAGATTTCCTCTGCTCATATGAAGCCAGGATAAATCACACACAGGACTTAAAATGCTATTTTAGTGGAGGCTTTATTGTCTTCACAATTTATTGTTTCTTATCTGTGAAATTAAAGTAAATCAAAGCTTTGTTTCCACTGAGGGAAATGGTTTCAGCTTACAGAGACAGACAGGAGGTCTGCGTCACTGTGACACTGTGGAGTTACATTTCAGGGGAGGTGCATGTCAGGTAGCTATCAGGTATTCAATGTAGAAGTATGAATTCAATTTGTTAAAAATAGGTTAAAATAACACTGCAAAAATGTCACCTTTTAGTTTTAAAAATAGTAAAATGCTTTCAATATAAAGTTACAACTTCAGAAAGTTATTAAAACTCTTTGGGGATAAATATTTATTCTCTTATGTGTTGTGCTGAACAGAAGATTTGAAAACTGTAAAAAAAAAAGTGGCGGCGGGATTTTTTGCAGTGTGCTGGTGTGAGTAGGGCGGGGCGGAGAGAGTAGGTTTCCTTCTGTGTGTGTGTGTGTGTGTGTGTGTGTGTGTGTGTGTGTGTGTGTGTGTGTGTGTGGAGAGCAAGCGAGAGGAGTCAGCTGGTCGAAAAGTGCAGGTTGAGAGCGGTGCATGTGTGTGTGTGTGTGCGTGTGTGTGTGTGTGTGTGTGTACGTGAGTGTGTGTACGTGTGCAGAGGAGCGCACCTCCGGGGGGAACAAGGTGAAGGCGGCTGAACAGCGGACGGAGTTTTCTGGGTGGAAGCAGTTTGTGTGGAGCTCCAGACGAGGACGGACGAGGCGCGCCGGGTGCTGCTGCTGCTGGACACGATTCCTGAGCTGCGTGCTGCCCTCTGATCACAGTAAGCTCCTCGGTTACTTGTTTGGAAACTCAGCATAGAAGGCATATGGTTTAACTCAGTGTCGATGGTCATGCATGTGGATGCAAAGCAGGGGAGACGCTTTCTAACTTACTTTACCAGCGCTTTAGTTGGTGATATTTTTAGCTGTGGCACCAGATACTAAGTCACTAGATATGAAAGGGTCTGTCACACTACTGTATGGAGTCCAGCCCCTCCAGGCTCACATACAGAGCATGCATCTGTGCACGAGGAGACTTTATAAAGACCACCAGCTGGAGGTATTTTCTAACACATCTCTGCAGTCAGTGGTGACAGTGGAGGGGGGGTTCAGTTTGTACAAGACAAAGCTTGACACAAGTCCTCCTGAAGACAGCAGCCCGTCTCCATCAGTGACTGTTTCATCTCTTCACTGTAGCTGCACTTTGGTTTCTTCCACTAATTGCTACTCTGTGAGGGAGTTATCTGAACCCACCCCACAGCACATACAAGCAGAAGGGCTGCATCAAGGAGGATAAGCTGAGTGTGTCTCTCTCTGAGTGTGTGTGTGTGTGTGTGTGTTGATGGTCTGTCATAAAACTCCATTAGCTGTGACTTAATGTAGGCTAATCTCTGCACGCTGCTAAACTTCCTCCTTCCTTCCTTCCTGGTGCATAAAGAAGACTGCAGGTCTGTTTAGGATCAGGAAACATTAAGGTCTTTAAGAGGCCCTGAGTGGCAGAGTTATACTACTGTTTGTAAAGTACAGCTGCAGGTGGGTAGTGTGCAGTTGAAGAGCGTCACCGGGCAGGTTGCTATGCAGTGCTTGTCTTGTTTTGATGAGAAAAAACCTGCTACTAACTGCACTCAGTGTCACCATCTGAGCTCACTTACACTTGGAAAGATGTAGAAGTGTGGCGTGTTATATCCACACACACACACACACTCACACGTGTGGCATTATTAAGTTGCTCCCTGCCCCATTTAATTCTCCAGATCTCCCCGTTTGACCAGTAAAGCTGAATTACTCCCTTTCTCTGCAGGAGGAACCACAAATGTCAGCAAATGTCAAGCACTCAGAGCTTTGGCTTCGCTCTCAGGCCTATTAGCCACACATACGATCAGCCAAGCTTGCCCTTTTGGCCAGGCGGCAATTTGATTGGTGTGAACACACGCATGAGCCTATGCAAGAACGTGTGAGATATAAAAGCGGTTGCAGTAAGAAGGAAAAAGTGTGCAATTATCAGCAGCGGAGAGGCTGTCTTTTCAACATGTGTGCAACTGTGCACACACATTTAGACACAGATTCTCAGTCAGCAGAGCGACCTAAAGATAGCAGAGCCCCAGTGGAAACAGTAATTAGTGGGGTGAAAAGAGAGGGAGAAGAGAGGAGGAGGAGGAGGAGGAGGAAGAAGAGATATTGTTTGAACCATCTGATATCTGTTATATAATGACCTGTACAATGGAGACATGCTGGGAGAGAAAGTGAAGAGAAACCAGCAGTCAAAGAGTGAGTGGAGCTATGTAGTGAGAGAGATGCAGAGTTCAGTGTGTGTGCGTGTGTGTGTAGATTCAGTTTTCCGAACCTTTGTTGGAAGGAGTATCGGTTGCAGCACTTCCCTGAAATTTGTATGTGGGCTGCAGAAATATCCATCTTAACAAGTCATTCATTCCTTTGTGGAGCATTTGTATTTTTCTTGAATTGACAGAATGAGCTGGACATCTCCACCATGTTTTTGCAGCCTTCCGTGAAATTGGGTGGGCAGATAGGAGTCCTTAAAGGGAGCAGTCGATAAGATTTTGATGGCGATCTGGGATTTCCACCAGCAGGATTTTCCAGCCAAAACAATGAAACAAATTTAGATAGAAGTCTGATTCAAAAACGACACAATGCAGAGCCAAGGAGCCCATTTATTCTCATGTTGAAGCAGTTGGAATGAATTTAGGGGTGTAGCTGCGAGTTGGACTGTTGTTGTTTTAACTCGCTTAAAGGGATAGTTTGGATTTTTTTGAAGTGGGGTTGTATGAGGTCCATAGTCACTGTCCAATTTGGAGAAGCAGAAGGGAGTAACACCATAGAAGCTAAACAATGTACGTGCTGTGGATGTGGGTTAGCAGCAAAACAGATTTAGCCTAGAGTTGGTTAGTGTTCTCACGGCAGCATTTACAAGAGGACCAGATCAAATGCCTTGTGTGAGAAAGCTGCTCTTGATTGGTCAGAATTTCCATGTGGGAAAAATCCAGGAAGTAAAGCAAACGTTGAAGAAGAGTACACTTGCAAGATAAATGTGACACTTTCTAATGTCACAATGGAGGGACAACTACGCAGGTTGATTTTAGCGCTGCTCATCGTGGACTATATTGCTGTCATTGTTCATTTTAGTCAAACCATACAGTTTGAAAACGAGGCGCGGCTCCAACTAGAAATCAATGTTTTGATGCATTGGATGTGCTGAATGTGCATATTAAGGCAGTACAGGAGGAGGTGCACATTAATAATCCTCCAGGACTGTAACATGCTCATGTTTAACCCAAACAATGTGTCATGTGACTGCAGTTGCTTCACATCCAGGTCGCAACACCTTCTCACCACAAACCAACCACACCAGAGTTCCTTTGGAACCGGACTGAGACCACCTCTTCAAGAAGGTCTCGGTCCGGTTGTTTTGGTGTGTTCACACCTGCACAAACGAACCGCACTGAGGGGGCAAACGGACTTGAGTTCGACCGAACAGAACCAAACAGGGCAGGTGTGAAAGCACCCTAAGTGTACGCTATATTGAGAGTATTATCACCACTTTACCTCGCCCTCCAACCCGGTCTGAGTCAAAAATTGCTGAAACCTGGTGCTTGGTCAGTGACCTCCCGTGTCAGACACTGATGAGAAAAAAAAGACAAACGGCATGATACAATTCCGGTCACCATTAAACACTCCTGGCAGCACCAGGGGGGAATGCCACTGGACAACAGCGAAAGTTTAGTGCGGAAGTCTGAGGGCGGGTGTTCACTTACGGTGTGATTGTAAAACCAAACCCTGTTTTTTTTTCCTAAACCCAACCACATGCATGTGTTGTTGAAGGAAAAAAAACATCAATTCACAGTGTTGTACCAACATAGTGCTTTTATTTTGAAAGAGACTGTATGCAAACTGTACATTTCCTGTGAAAACAGAAGTGTATTTTGAAACCAGACAATGCATGCAACAGGCTGAAGTTGACACAGCGTCCCAGAACGTCAAAAAGCAATGTACCCAGGGTACCTTGGAAGCCATATCTCGATGTGGAAAGTCCATGACCAAACAACGATATCTGACGAGGTCTGGGTGAGAATGTGAACATCGTAATATGAGACTATAATCTAGACATCTAACTAGATATCATAATATCCAGTGACACCCCTAAGGGAGGGCTTTGGTCACCCTCAAGCAATTGCTGCAAATAACTGGAGGCAGACATTCCTGTCTTTAAAAGGCTGTGGCCTACTAATTTTTTAAGCTAGCACTAAGGTAGTGGTGTCTTATCAAACTAGACAACCTAAGACATCAATTGGTACCAAACTGTCAGTGTAGCTTGTCAGGAAGGGGACTAAATAACGCTTCAAATTTAGGCTAGGCTTTTGGCGAGGGAACAACTGGCATGGCCATTTTCACAGGGGGTCGCTCCAACTCTGACCTCAAGATATCTGAATGAAAATGGGTTCTTTGGGTACCCATGAGTCTTCCCTGAATTGGAGAAGGCTTGTTTCCAGGAAATGTTTTGTTCCTTACAGTCAAATTAAAGCTGTATATTTGTCATTTTAAGAAAAAGGACAACCAGCCTACTTGAAGAACAATGAATCGCCTAACACATGTACATCTATACTCCAAGATATCCAAGCTCCTCCCCCTATCTCTAAGGCTGAGTGCAGCCACTCCACAGAGGAAACTCATTTCTGCCGCTTGTATCTGTGACCTCATTCTTTCAGTCACTACCCAGAGCTCATGACCATAGGTGAGGGTTGGGACGGAGATGGACCAGTAAATCGAAAGCTTTGCATTCTGGCTCAGCTCCCTCTTCACCATGACTGTCCGATGCAGCGCCTGCATCACTGCAGATGCCGCATCAAACCGTCGATCCATCTCATGCTCCATTTTCACTCATGGATAAGACCCCGAGATACTTGAACTCCCTCGCTTCAGGCAGTAAGGGGGCGATCACACAGAAATGAGATGCTAGAAACGCGGACACTTCAAAGAAACGCTGGAAGCGCTTATTCAATGTGCGCTAGACAAAAAAAACCCCAGCAAGGAGCGCCTGTGGAGCGGGGGTGCGTGCGCAACACACACACACCTCCTGTCATCTCCCTATGTCTCCCCTTGAATACAGTGTTTCCCTCAAAGACAGTAGCTTACATGAAACTATCACGAGCTTTCAAATAAAATCCAACTTTGTTTATATAGCACTTCTCATACATAAAAATGCAGCACAAAAACTGTGAACTACGAAATAAGGTCACCAGCCCTCTCACATATCCCACTAGCTAGCTAGCATATTATCGTCGTCATCAATTACATTGTACTCACCAGACAAATTCGTTGCTCTGCTCACACAGCTCCATGCGTGTCCCCTCCTGTGTTTGCTCAAGTACTGAGGTGTGCGTGTGTTGTTTAATTCTTAAAAATCAAATATTGTCAGGATAAATTTCTCGTCTTCAGATTGCATTGTGTTGTCTGTCGCTCGTAACTGACCAAACTGCCGTAACTGCCACAACAAAACAGGAAGGAGGATTTGATTGGCTGCCTGGGCCAATGACGACAATGACGAATGGTGCTACTGGCGTCTGACGCTCCAAAAGTTGAAAATATTTTAACTTTACAGCATCTATGGGTGTCTAAAAAGAAGCATCTACAAAAACGCTCGTCTAAAAAGATGCTTGGACGCCGGCCAGACGCGCCGTATCATAGGAAAACAATGGTTTTACCTGCGTCGCATTTATTTTAATTTTTATAAATAAATTTTTATTTATTTTTTTATTTATTTGTTTATTTGAAGGGACAGAGCATATTAATAGACATTTCTGTAAATATGCTAGATTTAGCCAAAGGCTAATTTTCATCCATTGTCCCTGGCCAGGTGTTACAAAGGCTCCCTGAAATAAAACAAAGTAGAACTATGTTGAGGGAACAAACATCAGTCTTATCTTAAAGCACCGATCAATAAACTACAACTCATTAAAATTGATTAGTGTGTGAACAACAAGTAATAATGACATTGCTAAAATTAACATACAATTGACAACAGCACAACATAAGACAGCCTTACAATTAATACAGAACACAAAGGACAAAACGAACTTCACAGCAAGCAAATAAACATGCAAGCAAGAAAGCAGTTAAAAACATGTATGCAAGACAATACGTAGTTAAGACAGCGTCTCATTTCTATGTGATCGCCCCCTAACTCTCTCCTCTTAGACTAATACTGATTTTTTTAGGTAGCTTTTTTTAAGTGGCTAAACTAGATTTCGCTGCTAACCCACATCCACAGCAGAACATTGCTTAGCTTCAGTAGTGGTACTCCCATCTGCTTCTCCAAACTGCCATCTATTGCAGGTAATACACCAGATATGGGTAAGTACCTCACACAACCCCACATCAAAAAATGTGAACTCTGTCTTTAAAGGCTACGTGCTTCAAAACTGTCACTCTGCAACAATGCAGCAAAATACATTGATTTTCATAAGCAACACAAGACTCAATGCTGAACAGCTTGGAATGGAAATGTATTGCAGTGTGTGTGTGTATCCCCACTAACACACACACACACGCACAACTTCCCGGTACTTACTCACAGCAGATAATGCTGCACAATGCAGTGGAAATAGCCGACTCCTATTTCAAGTCCCTTCAGAAAGGCTCTCCCTCTCTTCTCCTCTTCTTGCCGTCCCCTTCAGTCTGCAGGTGGTGAGTGTTGCTAGCTCCGAGAGGCTTTCTTATTTAGTCTTAAGCCCCAGGCTTTGTTTGGGAACTGACTTGTGTGTGTGTGTGTTTCATACACAATGGCTGTGTTTACATTGGATTCGGTGTGCACATGTTCATCCATGGACGCACATTCATTCCCTTCATGCAGGCTTTGTCTTGTCTTTAGCAGAGAGACGGGTGCAGGGTTTTTGTTTCTTGTCTTGTAGGAAACCAAATAGATCCTGGTTTTTACAAAGTTGTAGCATCGTGTTTGTTAAGTTTGTTTATTCACTTGTTTTGTGAGTTGCTTCATCACTCTCCTGTTTTTTTCCTTCATCATTTGGTTCAGTTTGTGAATGTGTGTTTTTCTCCTGTAATCTTTGTTCAGGCACTTTTTCATTCAGTGTGTTTTCTGTGCTGTTCTTCCTTCCTGATCAGGGTGCTGGTGAGACCAGAGGGTGCCATTCCCTATAGAGGGAATACTGAAGGAACACCATGGCCTTAGCGGGATGCCCTGACTACTTCTTACGTCACTCAAACTACCAGGTAAATATTTTATATGTTTTATGTGCATCTGCATCCTTTCCTCCATTGGAGTGAAGCTGTGCATGTTACACCTATTAATAACACTGATTAGTGCAGCTTTAGTTTGGAATTTTGCTTTGGTTTGAAAGGGTTCAGGTTTTAATTATGAGTCAGGGAAGCCTGTAGTTAGGGACTGTTCATTATTTATGAGGGGGGAGAGGGGGGTGCAAAACGGGGGAGGTGTATTAAATAAAATTTTTAGACTTATGTTTTCTATTTTTGCTTGGGGAAAGGACATACAACTTTAAATGGTTGTATTTTCTATTTATTATAAATGCCCCCCAAACCCCAAACCAGTGGGTTTAAATGGCAAAAATAAATAAATAAATAAATAAAATTAAAAAAGAATAAATCAATAATAAATAAATAAACAGCTAATAAACATAATAAATAAAAAAAATAATAATAATCGCCAAAAGGGCACACTTATCACAGCTAGAAACTATGAAAACATGAGTAATAATGATATAATCTGAAAAGAGGATTTGCATTTTGCTTCAGATATATATATATTTTTAAGTTGACTCTTGACCCTTTGAAACTTCAGCAAATTTGCTTGATGTCTTTTAAAAACATTGGAAGAAGCCAAGAGCAAATACAGAAGAAATGACCCTAAGAATTGGCAAGAAAAAGAGAAAATTAAAAACAAGAAAATGAATTAAAAAAAAAAAAAAGAGAAAAAAGTTAAAAACAAACAGAAAAGGATACGACCTGGGTAGAGTGCTTAAAAATTATAATAATTCTGTAACATAATTTTAAAATGTAATAATAATGACATTTTTTTTCCTTTTTTCTTTTTAGGTAATTTCTTATTTTGTTTTTTGTTTTTTGCAATTTGTGGGACATTCTTGCCACGTCACTCGGGGCCTTTTTTGCCATGTTTTTGAAATTAATCGCACAAATTTTCTCAAGGTTCAAAGGTTTAAATGCTTGCGAAAGGCGTCTGAAAGCAGCACAAGAACAGTGATGTCACTCCTGAGGCCTGTGCTGCAAAGAAGGATTTGGAGTTAGCGAGGTAACTTCAGGGTTAACTCTTGGTTTTCTGCACTACGACACTGGTTCTCTTCTTAGCAGTATAAATCACCATGGTAACTGATGCTGAACAGCTGACCAAAGTCCAGAGTCTCAGGTAAAAAAGAGGAGCCTATATGTTGTTAGAGGTTAGTAGATTCATATTATTGTTCCAGGGCTCATAAACTGATGCAAAGTTTATTTTAGTCGCAGTGACCGTGTTGATATTTGACACTGTGATTCATCACTGCAGCTCAGAATAACATGAGACACCTGTGTGATGAGAACGAGGATAAAACACATCATATTTAATTCGTAAAATAATCCACACACTGTTAATCAGCTCCTCATTCAAGGGTCTGATGATGTCACTTGTAATTAAGAGCCACGCCTCTTCCACATGAACACACTCGTGGCTGGGTAGGAAAACCCAGAGTTGACTGAACTAGTTGATAACCAGCTTTGTGGTACAGGTTATCCAGACAGACAATGTGACGGGTTAGTCAGGCCAGATAATGAGAAGATATCCTGCGTGAGTTGAACTGGCTTTGTAAAACAGACCTCAGGTTTCAAAGGGTTAATCCTGTTCTGTTTCCTCGTTCTATCGGCTCCAATTGCTTAATGAAAGATGGTGAGGGCTTATATATAGTTGAAGGAGGGTCATGCGTTTTCCTCCGGTCACTCTGGGAGGCTCAAGGAAAGATATTTGTAGTTTCGAGGTAGGTTAAAGATAAAAAAACAAAACAAACAAACAAATAAAAACCCATCACAGCCAGCCACCTCCTCCTCTGATGAATACAGAACAGTACCTCAGAGGAACATCCTCACTATCATAGTAGTACAAACCTCAGTGTGTGTATCAGCATGTGCACAGTGGCTCTGTGAGTCCGCTGGCTTCACACTGACTCCTGGCCTAGTTAGGTGAAATACGGCGTCTGCAGCACAACAGACCCACCTCCACTGTCCAACTCCTGCAGAATGAGCCCTTTGTTTCCCAGCTCAGCTTTTCTCCTCTCCAACCCTGCAGCAACCTAAAGAATTTGGTTAAAGAGCATCGTGGAGGTCTATAAATAGAGCGCTAAACAAACAACAATAACAAGCTGCGGGCTTCGTCGTGTGACAGCGTGGGATTGATGGCGTGACGTCTAGCTGGGGGCCGATGGGACGGCGGAGGTGACGTAGCCTCAGCTGCCTTATTCGTCTTAGTGAAGGTACAAAAATTCAGCTCCCTGCTAACCCCAAACCGTGGGACCGCTGAGCTCCCGCTGAGCTGACATGTAGTTGGATTTGTTCAAGTTAGCTTCCAGGAAAGGGTTTTGCACCAGTAAGGCTGCAGTGAATAGTGAATTGAATCCCCATAGAAAACAACATTCCTCCACCCTGCATCGAGCAGAGAAGAGACACAGTTTGATAGTTCGAGGGAGAGAAGTGGGTTACAACATTGCTCTGTGTGTGTGTGTGTGTGTGTGTGTGTGTGTGTGTGTGTGTGTGTGTTATGTAAAGCTTGCCAGTTGACATGACACAGCATGGCACACACACACACACCATGGAGTCTCTCTGTAGGCAGTCACTGAAGGTTTAGTGTGTATAGATAAGGAGCAAATGAGCCTCTTTCTGTAAACTTACATAACGCTATACATAACGCTGGGCATGTTTGGGAATCTGGGCAGCGTTCCAGGCCTGTCTCCAAAGCGTGTGTGTGTGTGTGTGTGTGTGTGTGTGTCTATCTTAGTGAGAACTTTGAATCAGTGCCAGAGATGTCTCCGAGGAACCAGCCAGCAACTCTTTCTGTTTTTCCCTCCCGTATCCTTATGTATGAGTGTGTTAACGTGCATACACATGAGCCGCACAGCACTGAGAAACCGCAGTCCACAGACTCGGAGCTCAGCTGAGTTATGACTGCAAATGGTCAGAGGAGCAGAAGGAATGACGCGTTCAACAGATCCTCTCCCTCTAACGTCGGTTTCTGTGCCAGCAGTCCTGAACGTGTCTGCTCCGTCTGGGAACATGGACTACAGTTCTTTCTTTCTTTCAGTCCTGAGAGGTCAGAGGTCAGCGGCTGTGCGCTCTGGTCACCACAGCAATGGGCACGCTCAGTCTTCGCGCTTGTGCTTTCGAGGAAGCTTAGCCTCGATGCTCTTAGAGAAAGTATGTTGAAATGCCTCGCCGTTAATGCTGTGGGCGATAGAGTGAAAGGAGAGACGCTCGCTCACGATCAAAGACATGTCAAGAGTATTCATGACTATCCAGAGCAACCCAAATGTGTCAAGCTGATGGGAGCGGGGCCTAAGATTTCCTCTACAAGTCCTGCTAACTCCAACGCATGACATTGGGCCAAACAAATGTATCTTTACAACAAGAAATAACTCACTCAAATCCAAGAAGACCACAAGAGATGACTCCTCAGTTTCAGCAGGACAGGGAGTCATAGCAAGAAGTCCTTTTTAAGAAAAGCCCCTCATTAGAGGAGGCGATATGGCCAAGGAAATAATCTTCTAGCACAGTATATGTAATTTTATATCACAGTAGTGGTGTACTGTATGTAACGATACAGTCATTGTTCTACAGATTCAATTAAGAAATGGTTTAAAAAGACTAAACCATCTGATACATGAACAAAAACAACGGCCTCACAAGAGACAACACTTAAAAAACAAAAAAAAACAGTAAAACTAAATACTTTCAAAGTAGAAACTTTAAGGTTCCTGACTAATAATTTCAAGTGTTCTGTGTTTGCAACTTCAACTTCTCCATGTCTGCCCGATTACATTAGCTTGCAAGGCAGCTGCAAGATCCCATGATCACATTAGAATCCAGCCCTGGTTTGCTCCGTCTTCCGCCTCGAATAGCTCCTGCAGTAGAAAAGGTTCTGCCAAATCTCAACTGGTGGCTACATTTCTAACATTGCACAGTGTATACCATCATGTCGGCTAACGTTTCAGCCCGACAGTCCCCCAAGTGGACCAGTAGTGTTGGCCTTGGGTGGTCACACAGAGAAACTTTAGTTACAGTTTAGTTACCATCATACACAGCAGTTTGTTGATAACCTATAATTTTATGTAAAAAAAAACAAAACAAAACAAAATCCTAAACTTTATCAAAGAGGAAAGTCTTAAGTCTAGTCTTAAATGTGGAGACGGTGTCTGCCTCCCGGACCGTAACAGGAAGATGATTCCAAAGGAGAGGAGCCTGATAGCTGAAGGCTCTGGCTCCTGATCTACTTTTGGAGACTTTAGGGACCACGAGTAACCCTGCGTTCTCAGAGCGCAGTGTTCTGGTGGGATAATATGGCACTATGAGCTCTCTAAGATATGACGGAGCTTGACCATTTAGAGCTTTATAAGTTAACAGTAGGATTTTAAATTCAATTCTGGATTTTACAGGGAGCCAGTGCAGAGAAGCTAAAACAGGAGAAATATGATCTCGTTTCTTAGTTCCTGTTAGTACACGTGCTGCTGCATTCTGAATTAGCTGGAGAGTTTTTAAGGACTTACTAGAGCTACCTGATAATAGAGAGTTACAGTAATCCAGCCTTGAGCAACAAAGCGTGGACCAATTTTTCTGCAGATCTTAATGAAGAAATTAGCTGCAGTCTGCATTTTGTTTCCCAAGTAAACAAAAAGTAAATAAATTGAACTGAAGTACATCCAAGATCAGTGGTTCCCAACTGGTCTAGTCACGGGGTCCAGATTTCTCCTTAGTCATTAGTTCAAGGTCCACACAGTTTAATACATTCGGCATCAGACTTTGGCCATGTCACTGAGAGAGCCGCCTGTTAATGACGCTGTGGGCTAATGGGCATGTAGCTACTTCCATGTTTCAGATGATACGTCATGTTTGTAGTCGACCAATGAAGATGAGTTTACATATCACCTTGGGTTCGTCCTTCACCTTATCAAAATGATCCCACACTTTAGATTTCCTGCCCAACATGTTATTAACTAGCCTGTGGAATAACCGCAGGTACCAGCCCTGGAAATTAACCTGAATCCTGTCTGACTGCTGAGCGTGGACACTTCCTGTGTCTGTCCTTTCAAATTAAAGTCACACATGATCCAGTCATATAGGTTTGGCTTTATTTTGACAAGGTGCAGCTTAGGTATGTTTGTTTTGTTTTGTTTTCTGCAACTAAGTGACCAATGAAATCTTGCTGACTAATTGCCTTTCATGTCGACTAACATTTGGTTGGCTATTCAGTTGCAGCCCTAATTCAGGTGAAGAAAAATAAAGTCTTATTCTGATGCAAAGATTTGCTAATTAACAGGAATGTAGCACAAGGTGAAAATATTTTGTCCTTTAAAAAGAAAAATTGTGATAAATAGTTGAAAATAAATTGATCTTGTGTGTTTAATCTCTACAAAAAACAAAATATAAAACTGAAAACTTTCTGTTTTATCCATCAAGTGAAGTAAAGTTTAAGCTCCATTAAGTCACTGCTTTCAGCCCACAAATAGTCTGGCACCTCACTGAGGCTACTGTAAAACATTTAGTTTTTGTACAGATTAAACAAACACGTCTTTAATTAATGAGCTTCAGAGGTGCACAGAGTCAGGCTCGCTATTTCTCTGTTTCCAGTCTGTATGCCAAGCTAAGCTAACAGCTGCTGGCTGCAGCCTTGTGTGTGATGGGCATGGTTTAAACAATGCCTGACAGTACAACGTCAGTTTGTGCAGATAGAGCAACCTGTGGATGTGGCAGAGTTTAAGAGGTTAATGTGAGGTTATCTCGTGTGTTTGAGCAGGAGTCCGCATGTCTGTGGGTTTGGAGTAATGCTCCTTATTGTTTGCATGTGGCCTCTTACATAATGAGTACGATATCAGAGAGGATTTAGTGAACATGTTGATGTATCTCTAGCTAGTTAGCTGGAGCTGGAGCCTGCAGACTTTCTTTGTCAGCACACAGGCCCTGCAGCCAAGCTGCCTTCCTTGGAAAGCTTTTGGCTGCTGCTTCTCAGAGCTATAAATCTTACTCTGGGCATTTATGGATGTTTTCGAAGCACCGAGGGGAGCTGTGTGTGTGTGTGTGCGTGCATACATGCACAACAGGACCTCTGGCCACGAGCAGTTCCTGGAAGCAATGCTTCCTCGTTCTTCTTTTTCCTGGAAAAGGGAAGATTGAAAATTTGTTTGGCTTTCTTCCCTCCCTTTCTCCTATGCAGCGTTCTTGCCTCGAGGCTGCTTCAAATTAGACAATGTGTGAGGAACTTGGCAGCGTGTGCGTGCATCTCCAGACGTGTGAGATTGTATAAGTGTGCCTGGGCTGGTTTGTTTTTGCACCGAAAATGATTGATCTGCTCACTTTTTGTTTTTTGTTTTTTTTTTGTTTTGTTTTTTTTTTTTGGATCACAAATCAGTATCTGATGTGAGCTTCACATGTGAGGAGAGTTTGAAAAGAGTACGTGTGCAAGTGTGTGTGTTTGTGTGTGTGTTGGAGAGAGAGAGGGAGAGGCCTGGGGGTCAAAAAGCCACAGCACCACAGGGTCAGAGTGTCACTGGTCTTTGAACTTGAGGCTTGATGTTCCTCGAGAGCAGGAGCATGAACCCAACCTTTGTCTGACCCTCTGACCTCTGAAAATAACACGTTGTCTAAGCCTTCACTGAAACATCTGACATGTTAAACCCACTGCGTGGTTTTTGCCTTTGTTTAAATTAAATCTTTCTTTTTTGTGCCTTTTTCTGACAGGAAAGCATGGACCGCACTTCCTCTCGCAGGCCCGACGAGCTGATTGTTCCAGGCTTTCAACGCTCGGCCAATCAAAATTTGCCACATCACCATGGTAACTGTCCTCTCCTCATCCAACCTGTGTCAGATCCTTTCAGAAACAATGAAATATGGTCATTATCCTCCAGTCTCTCCCAATTTATCCACTCTTCATGTTGTAAAAGATGCATGATGCCGGTCTGTTCATATTTCACTCATTCCCCTTCTTCAAACGTTTCTTTTAGAAACGTCTCCACATCCACAACACATTTGCTGGCCTGCTGAATGTTCTTTCTGTGTTCCTAGAAATTCCCCCTCTCCCTCTCTATCTCCATTTCCATCTAAGACATTGTCTCCTTTCATCACTGCAGGCTCTGCTCTCCAGATGGAGAGGTTATAGACAAGTGTTTAAGTGCCGCCCCCTTTTTTTTTTTAGCACAGCTCAGCACTTTTTTCACAACCCCCCCCCCCCCCCCACACACACACACACACACACACACATATGCGTTAGCCTGCTCCCAATATATTCCCAGAAATCCCTTCAGCCATCATGGAAAATCGTGGGAATCCTTTTTGGAAAGCGTCCAGCTTGTGGAGAGGAGAGGGCGTAAATTCTCCCTCCCCAACCCTTTTTTTCCTCCGCTTCGGCTTGGTGTTTTAGTGGATTGTCTGCTCGGCTGATGTGTGGTGGTCATGCTTGTGTGAGTGCATTAAATATGGGTTCACGTGAACGGGGTGAGTGGATGTGGTGTTTATATAGGCCTGTAGGTCACCCAGTGCCAGGCAGAGGGGAGTTTATAGTAAGTAGGCCATAGGTCTTTGGGGCAGAGGCGGAGATAGTAAAAGGTATGCAGGTTCAGACTTGAATACAGGCAGTGACACTGCAAATGATCCCAGAGTGATTAGAGGAGGTTTCTCTACCATCTTAACCACTGGAAAAACATAATATCACTCCCACTCTTTTCACCTACACACACAAATATTGATTCCAGCAATTTAATATCCACTTTGTGGTAACTGTAAATGTAATCATGAGGAATGAAAAAGCACTTCTTTAAATGAAAACTAAGGCAGGATGTATACTTCTGCATCGAATCAACACCGTACCCTGACATGCACCTCCCCTGAAATGTAACTCCACAGTGTCACAGCGACGCAGACCTCCTGTCTGTCTCTGTAAGCTGAAACCATTTCCCTCAGTGGAAACAAAGCTTTGATTTACTTTAATTTCACAGATAAGAAACAATAAATACTGTGAAGACAATGAAGCCTCCACTAAAATTTTAAGTCCTGTGTGTGATTTATCTTGGCTTCATATGAGCAGAGGAAATCTCTGCTAGCTGCTAGGCTAATTTATACAATGTAAAATGCCATAGGCTTGTGCTAATAACGTTAGCATGTTGCATTTGTTTGGAAAATGTGTTTAGTATAAGACAGTTGTTTTGTCAGTGAACCTTGTGAGCTGTAATGGAGCTGAATTTTGTAACGTTACCTTTGTTAAATGTTGCTGTTGTCCCTGGCTTCATATGAGCAGAGGAAATCTTCGCTAGCTGCTAGGCTAATTTATACAATGTAAAATGCCATAGGCTTATGTTAATAACATTAGCATGTTGTATTTGTGGGGAAAATGTGTCCAGATAGAGACAAGTGTTTGTCTGTGAATGCTGCGAGTTATAGTGAAGCTGATTTGTGTACTTGTGTTTGAAACTGTCTCTATTAAGCCATGGCGCTGTATGTAAGAATGTGGCCAAAACGGTTACTGCACTCAAATTCAAAATACTGCCGCAAGTCGTGTCCGCCCCCCTTCCCTACAGATTCGAGGTTGCTGGACAGCGGCACGCTGGAGACTGATTTGTTTGCCCATTGCGGCTGCCGTGGCAAGGCTGCGTCGCTGCATCCTTGATCTTCAGTTTTCCAGCGGACCGTTCGAGCAAGTCCGGCTTCTCTTCTGCTTACGCTGCTGCCGGGATACAGTGGAGGAGGAGCCGGCTGCTAATGCTATGTACAGGGACACTGCTAATGCTGCTCGCCGTGCTGCTAACGTTTGTTTCTCAAAAAACATCAGTCGGGTCGATAACCCACCTGCACATGGGCTACAATGAATGATCAAAAATGAATAACAGTTGAAAGTATTTGAAATGTCCATCCCCGTCTAGCTATGATGCTAGTTAGCCAACTTTGGCTAAAGCTTACCTGTCGAGGAGAAGAGTAGCCACTTCAACATCCAATTTCAAATTCTTCTCCGCTTTCAACCGTCTCCACCGTTCAAAAGCATCTCCTATATAGACCCTCGCTTTGCCTCGAGTTTTGTCTTGGCCTTTTTGGGAATCATAACGAGGTCGTTTGGGTTTAGTCGCACCGTCAGCTATTGTAGCTCAGCCGGTTTGCAGCACAAGACACAAAACTATCACATGAATATGAAAATAAGTTTTTACCTGATGTTTCAGTCATGATATTCGAGGTGATACTCTGCTGGCATTCTTGTAAATGTGTCTGAAACGTCACATGTGATGATACGATTTAAGTTTCCAAAAGGAGCAGTTTCTGGTGTTCGGACCTGTTTTTGTATATTTGTATTTTTTCTTCTGTCCAGCACCCAGTATTTATCATTTATGGATGTCCGTGCTGTTTTTTGAGTCTTCAGTTTTTAGTGCAGCCATCAATCATCGCAAAATGGACTTCACTGGAAAAGCAAGAGTCAAAGACACCCAGCTACTGTTTCATTCTGACTTTGCACTTCAGGGAAACATAACGTCAACCTTCGCTGATGGACGTGCTGTATATTTAGGTCATGCCAGTCTCAGGTTACATGCCCTTCATTTATGCTGGGCCTGTCTTTTTGATGATCTAGTAACGTGTCTTGATTCATACCAGAGGGTTGACTGCATGTAAGCCAGCCGTTACACTGCACCAGATTTAATGTTTTATTCATAATTATTATCATGAAGCCCCTTTTTGCTCTCCTCCAGAATTAAGTCACTGAGCTGCTCAGTATAAATACAGACTTACACTGGTTAGACTGCTGGAGGCTTAAAAGTTCAGTTGCTTGTATCTCAGTAATGATTATTAAGCGAGGAAGAGAAGTACTCATTTTACCCTCCCACATCACGTGACGTGATTTAGAGCTGAGACCTCTCTTTCACTTTCACTTCACTGTCCATATGGAAAACATGTGCTCCTACAATTCAAAATGTGACAACACTGACGATAAAAATACAAAGTGATCTCAGTGCAGAAAGAACAGATTTGTTGACGGCTTGTGCAGAATGTCCCAAAGTGCATTTTTATTGCATATAGTGACTTAATTGTTCTTTGCCCTTTAAAATCTGAACGTCCCGCTCTTTTCCCTGACCTCCAGACTGCCTCAGGGATCGATGATTGCAGGTTGTTGTGGCCAGGGACAGAGAGCACTCATTCAGTGTATTCTGGGATATTACAGGCATGAACTGGCTCGGGCTGTATGGTTGGTTTTGTTGTCAGATGCTAACCAGAGTGCTGCAGCAGTTCATCTGTTTTCAGAGTCGCAGTTTGTACGAGATAGGGAGGAGATATTTTCATGCTATGTGTCCTCTGGCTTCCCCGACTGAAGCCAGCAGTGCAGTGAGGGCCAAGCCAGTGACGGGAGGAGGGAGAGGAATGCCAATGATACCATCATTATCCTCTTAAAGCTGCATGAGGCGACATTTTTATGTAAAATCACAGCCGACTTATCAGCCTTAATCACAAAGTGGTGCTTCAACAGAGAGGAGCTGCAGGAGAGGAAACCTTCCTGTTCCCAAAATTAAGATGATGGAGGATATTTTGCTGTGATGAAAAGCTGGTTTTAAGTGTAACCACTTGAAAGGAGAAAGTGAAAAACTAGAAATCTGTGGCCTGTCCAGAGAAAGTTAGACTTGCGAATGACAACTCAACCAATGATTCTTCAGTGTCCTCTGCTGTCAGAGCTTATATTTAACTCCCACAGAGCTGTCTCAATCTAGAGCCATGACTTGAAGCCAATAGCTGTTTCCACTACCAGTCACAAAAATAATCTCTCTCTCTTGGCGTGGTACTCCTTCGACAGGTCACCAGACTATCACAGGGCTGACACACACACAACCATTCACACCGGCAATTTAGAGTCACCAATTAACCTGCATGTCTTTGGACTGTGGGAGGAAGCTGGAGCACCTGGAGGAAACCCACACTAACACAGGGAGAACAAAGAAAGAAGAAAGTACTCTAGACGTCCCTCTCCCCAGCAATGCTTTCCAGCTCCTCCTGGAGGACCCCGAGGTGTTCACAGGCCAGATGACATATATAATCCCTCCAGCGTGTTCTGGGTCTGCCCCGGGGCCTCCTACCAGCTGGACGTGCCCAGAACACCTCTAACAGGAGGTGCCCAGGAGGATCCTGATCAGATGTTGAACCACCTCAACTGACACCCTTCGACATGAAGGAGCAGCAGCTCTACTCCGAGCTCCCTCCAAATGTCCGACTCCTCCCCCTATCTCTAAGGCTGAGCCCAGACACCTCACAGAGGAAACTCATTTCAGTTGCTTGTATCCGCGATCTCAGTCTGTCGGTCACTACCCAGAGCTCATGACCATAGGTGAGGGTTGGGACGTAGATGGACCAGTAAATCTAAAGCTTCACTTGACGATCCGGCACAGCGCCTGCATCACTGCAGAAACCGCACCAAACCGCCGATCCATCTCACACTCCAGTCTACCCTCAATCGTGAACAAGACCCCAAGATACTTGAACTCCCTCACTTGAGGCAGTAACTCTCTCCCAACTCAGAGGGGGCAATCCACTGGTTTCCGACAGAGAACCATGGCCTCAGACTTGGAGTACTGTCGGGGGGCAGCCCTAGAAACTGGTATATCACATCTCTACAGTGAGCCAATGTGCGCATTTTTTTCTAGCTATAATGTTACTCCAACCTGTTGCTAATGAAGTGGCTAATTGTTATTTTGTTTTAAGTGCCTCCTCTGTTTGTTGAAGCTTTGATTTATCACAATAGGTGTCTCACCAAACCTTCTATTCCCAAGAACTGATGCAGGGGACAGCCCTACACAACAGTCATCTCTGGCTGTCCTCATGTGCTCTCTTGTTCTTTTCCAACTGTGCCCCCCCCCCCCCTCGCCTCCCTCCCTCCACCAACCATGGTCCCACTCATGAACCCCGGCATCACATGACCTTGTGTCCCAGACTGTCCTTTCTGTGAGTGTATGCGTGTCATGCATACCTCTTTGTGATCTGAGATCAGCCCGGCCGACTCCTGCTGTTTTTGGTACAGCGGCTTCTTTTCCGCTTGGTAGGCTCAGCGTGTATGTTCACTGTGTGAGTGTGAGTGTGTGTGTATGTGTGTGTGCATGCTGTACAATGCAGTTCTTTTTCTTTCAGATCTCCTGTATAATTACATGCACATGCTCATCAACACAGCATAGCGTACATGGTGTCCCAAGCTTGTCTGTGTGAATCAGCGTTCCCACAAGGTGCTTGAAGTGCTTGAAGTTTGAGGGGAAAAAACTGAAGTGCTTAAAAAGTCCTTGAAATTGAAATGAACAACAAGAGTTGAAAATTAGTGACAGCTTTAAACTCTCTGTGTATCACTTAGGTCTCATACTCTGCATTAGAACTTTTTCTAAATTGCATCATCCCAACCAAAAACAAACAAACAAAAAACTGCTGTCTTATGTTTAGAGCAAAGTTTTGTTTATCCGAAAACAGTCGGTACGCACAGAATCCTTGCACACTGATTCCAATGTGTTTTGTCGCTCTGTTTCTTTCGCAATATGTGACAAAATGAAAAGACACATTTCCTCCTTTGCCTCTCTCCACTGGAGTTACCTATCTGGCTGTCACCACTCCCTCCACGACTGCATGAAGGGGCGGAGCTGTCCTCCACATTCTATGTCCGGTCCACATCCTCCACATCTTCATCATCATCCACCTCAATATTACTGTCCGACCTGTTGATAGTGAGCTGTCTGAGTGCCCCGTCCCTCTGTCTTGTTGTGGCTGTGTCCCGCCGCCACATTTTCTTCACTGATTCTCGGTCAATCATCTCTAAAGTCTCTGAGGGATACGAAAAATGCAGAAAATCGAACCTGTTCCGAAAACTTTAATGACGGACGAAAGTTTCGGACTTGGTGTGCAAACGTGACTGACACAATGTAAGGTCGTATTTATTTTTAGACGTGTGACAATCAGTGGGTTTACATAGACAGTTTAATTCCTATTAAGTTCATTCCTATTAAAAGTGATCTTGTAAACACCTAATTCAGAATGAAAATGGCCAATACGATTGAAAATTCAATCCGATGTAACGGGCTGTAATATTCCATTTCTAATTCCGAATAAAAAAATTTCTCGCACTTGTATACACTCATTCCTCTTTAAGTTCATTACGGTCTTTCTGCACATGCTCGTTTCCTTGCCCTTCTGGCACCATGACGTATATAGCGCGCATAGCAACGGGCTGAGATAGAGCAGTCAGACTCGTTGCACTCACCGGTTTCTGTTCGCCAAAGCACGGTCTTCTACCTCCCTTCTCCTCCTCAACAGACGAAGCATTAACAGAACAAGGTTGTTGTCGTACTGCTGCTTCAAGAATATAAGCAAAACAAGCCCGAAAAAGGCACTAAGAACAGCGTTGTCAAGCGTCTTGTTATCCGGAGCGAGGACTACAGTGTTTTCTTCCAGTAAATGTAAACACGTAACATCCGCCCCGCCCCCTATCCAATCAGAAACCTTCCCTGCCCCAAACCTTGCGCGGACCCGAATAAAGGCGATTAAAAGGCGATTAAATTGATCTCCCGTGTAAACCCTCATTCAGAATGAATATTTCTCATGTAAACTACCTGGAAAAACTTTAATTCCGAATGATTTAATTCAGATTTATTTCATTCTGAATGAGAAGCCATCATGTAACCGCACCCATTTACTGACGAAAGAAACGGACTCAGTGTGCAAAGACTAAACAAGTAGGCTGGGATGACATTTTTCTATAGGCCGACACAGGAGTTAGCGTCGCCCTGGTTCCCTCATCCAAAATCCAATGGGATTCTTCCATTGGATTATGGATTATTGCAGAAAGTAAGCTTTGAGGCAAACAAACGTTTATGATACTTACACGTTTTGTTCAGGAAAATAATCTTCAGTAATGAACACCACTTTTTCGAAGCTTAAACGCAGTCGCCAGAAGTAAATGGACTGCACTTGTATAGCGCCTTCCTAGTCTTCTGATCACTCAAAGCGCCTTTACAGTACGAGTCACATTCACCCATTCACACACACATTCACACACTGGTGGCCGAGGCTACCGTACAAGATGCCACCTGCTACTCAGTAACCATTCACACGCTCTCAAACACCGATGGAACGGCTATCAGGAGCAATTTGGGGCTCAGTATCTTGCCCAAGGATACTTCGACATGTGGTGTATCCTTGGAGTACCCATGTTGACTGGAGGAGCCGGGGATGAACCGCCGATCTTCCAGTTGGTGGGCGACCTGTTCTGCCTCTGAGCCACAGTACATGAAGTACAAAGCTAATGTTAGGCTATAAACGAGTTACACCACGGTTGCACAACCTGACCTTAAACCAAGTTCGGCGTGATGTCCTGTACTCTCATTTAGCCACACATTTTTAAAAAGAACATAAAAGCCTCAAAATGTACGAGTGCGTTCTTGAAATGGTTACCGGTCAGTACCACTAATGTTCCGTTAGATTTAGGACTCCTTATTGTATTTGATGTCCTTTAGCTGACCACTGTCACAAGAGAGAGACTGTGTGTGTGTGTGTGTGTGTGTGTTTTGGTGTCCTACTTTGGTGTCCTGGTCATTTGGTCACCATGTGCCATGAACAGGCTGGTGAACGTTCCCCAAGTGCTGTAATTTTTTCTGCAGGAATGTCAGGAATTCTGTGTGTGGTGTCGGGGTTGGACGCACGTTGGACCAAAGGGCTTTGGACACACACACACACACACACAGAGACACACATGGAGACATACCACACTTGTGAGGACATCGAACAGACCTCTTGAACTTATTCTGTAAGTGTATAGCAGCAATATTTTTATGCTGCTATACACTTCTCCCCACTGGTTGACAGTGCACGTTAGCTTGTAAGAGGTGGAGGTTTAGGGAATACGTTTCTGTAGGCCAGAGAAATGGTAAACAATCCCTGAAGGCCGATAGATTTTGCAGCATGACGTATTAATCCCAGACTGACCTCCGTTAATTAGTAACAGTTCAGCTTGAAGGACACGCACTGACTGGCAGCTGCCTTGTTGACTGTCCTGTAAAGACCCTCTCACTGTGGTTAGGTTGGTTGTCCCGTCTGTGGGTGACTGTTTCTTCCAACTTCCAGTTCTTGACGGACAACTCAGGGCCTTGAATCACAGGTTTCACATAATTTGACCAATGGGGAGCGGGCCAGTTAGTGTACTACACAGCCATTGGAAGGAATCCAAGCCAAAGTGAAATCCAACACGAGGAGGAGTGAAACTTCAAAACAAGTCTGTGTGTTCTCTCTCCCTTTGGTGTTGTGCTCAACAGTTCAGGACCACAATGTGCTTCTGGCAATAATTTGGCTGTTGACCGTGTTAAATTACAACTAATTAAAGGTGCTAGTCACAATGCTGCGGCTTTGTCTCAGCATGTGCAGTAGGAGTGGGACAAAAGGTCAGAATGCTCCGCTGTGTGTTTAAAGTAAAACAAGTAACCCTTTATTGACCCTGAAGTAAACTTTTAACCCTAACAGGACTCTGTAACATTCATTTACGACAAATTGGCTTCCAGTAGGGCGGCTGTGGCTCAGTAGGTCGAGTGGTTATCTACCAGTCAGGCTGTCGGTTGTTCGATCCTCGGCCCCTGCAGCTGACTTGTGTCTTTGCTCCCCCAGTGACTGTGCTGTCAGTGTGTGAGTGTTTATCTGATGAGCAGGTGGAACCTTGTATGGTGGCCTCAGTCACTTCTGTATGATTGTGTGTCAGAGGTGGGACCAAATCACAAGTAAGTCTCAAGTCTTTGTGCTCAAGTCCCAATTTAGACAGGCAAGTCCAAGTCAAATCAAGACCAAAAACTCCAAGTCCTACACTTTGAGTTTTGAGTCCCAAACAAGTCATGATGCACTCTCTTCCCCCAGTGTAATTCAGTTTTAACAATGGAGTAATAACGTTAGCTTAGCATTAGCTCATGAACTGTCGTAGCTGGGAATTATGTCATACCCAAGCTGAACATGTCTTAGTTAGGGCCGCCCCCTGATAGACAACTAGAAAGGTCATTAGTCGCCAAGATTTCATTGGTAGCTTCATCGCAGGAAAAAAACAACTGGAGAATTAAGTGTCGACTTGTCTTGAATCAAAGGTGCTGATTCAGAAAATGAAGGGAAATCGAGTTGCAAGTCTTTAGGGGTCACATTGGGGTCATTTACAAGAGGATTTATCAAATAGATATTATATCTGTATCAATGAAATTGACATTGAGATAGTTATCGTTGTATCGTCCAGCCCCGGTGTGTGAATGAGTGAATGGTGCTTGTGTTGTAAAGCGCTTTGAATCGCCACTAAAACTAGAAAAGTGCTACGGTATATAAAGGCAGTCCATTTATCATTTAATATTTTCTCTGTCTGTCTTTAAATACAGAAGTAGAAATACAAGATACATCAATTGACAACGTAGAAGTGTCCATAACCAGACTTCTAGTTTGTCTTGTTTTACTTTGATAAAGGCTTTCATATCAACTGTGAAAACTACAGAGAAAGAATGCAGATCCTCACTAAACTTTGCCGCCACAGTTACGGTAGACAGATTGAGTTTTTTGCAGACAGTCCCCTCTACAGTCCATGAAGGATGACTTCTAATGACATCAGCTGGTACTAGACGGTTTAAAAATAACCTCTCAAACACTGGTTCCCACTGAGGCCACTGGATATCTGCTGTCCTGCAGCGTCTACTGTCACTGTCACTGTCACTCACTTTCTTTTTCCACCCTCTCCCATCCCACTATCCGCCCTCTTCCACAGACGACGACGTGGACCTGGAGCAGCTGGTGAATGACATGAACTCCTCCATGGAGAGCGTGTACCCCGTGCAGGCAGACACGGCGCTGCTCCTGAACAACGGCCACGTGCACACTCCCAACCACCACCAACATACGCACCCTGCCTACCCGGGACACGGCCAGGCCCACCGTCGTCACACCCCGCCTCTGCGGCACTCTCAGCCCATGCACATCCAGGCCGTCAGGTAGACTCTCATTACCTGCCCCCTGCATCGATTTCTCTGTCTTCTATTCAAACACACAACTGGAAGTACTGTCTCCTGTTTGTCTTTGGCTCTGTGTGCTTCATTTGATTTGTTTGCATGCAGTGGTGCCCCTGGAAATGTTTCATAAGTGTGGCTGCATGGGGGCACTGACAATGTTGGGGTGGCACACCAAAACAAAAAGCTACGACTGAATTTCAGGAATTTGGTTATGCTATCAAAGTATACAGGCTAGGTGAAAACTATGTCAATATGGAGAGTTAAGGAATCGCATACTCACATCTGATGTGCTTAGACTAACACTGGTACAGTTATCATTTTGAGTTCCACAACAATCCTGTTTTAATGTGTCATGTGTCTGTATATGTTGACTGTGTAACTGCAGAGTGACACAGACACACCACCGCACAAGTATAAATGCTCCTAATGGAGTGGGCCACATGCATAGGCCGTGACATACGCTTTGTATAGAGCTGACGCACAAGTATTAATCCGCTTCTAGGCGATTCATTGTTCTTCAATTAGGATGGTTATTTTTCTCCTTAACGTTGAGATGAAATACAATTTACTTTTTTAACCCTTTTCGGTCACATCTCCACACATTTTGTGCACCTATTTGAAAATATATGCCAAATTTGTTTTTTTTTTTTTTGTTTTTTTACAGAAAATCTGTTTCTTCATATTGTTAGAGACCCTTTTAGGGCCGACGTCACGATGACGTCAGTTTGTTACCTGGAGGTGCAGCTGCCTCTCCCCCACAGGAGTGTTAAAATGTGTTTGTCTTGTTGTGTTATTGGGAGCCAGAATAGAAGGAGTCATGGCTCAAAACCAGCCGCCACTGCCCGTCAACAAAAACAAAGACAACTATGGTTAAATGTGATAAGACCAAAGGACTGGACGGAGGCCATCATCAAAAATGCTCACATGTGCAGCGCACACTTCATATCAGGTTAGGGAAAAAGTATTTCCTGTTGTAGGGATGAATAAGGTTATGTGTATTAAGGGTTATCATGTCCACCTCATCAGAAACTGGGGAGGGATTAAGAGGAATATTGGATTTCTCTGCAACGCTAACTTTTTAGCACATTAGCTAACGTTAGCTTCCATAGCAAAACAAACAAGTGTGGTCCTCCTTTGTAAGATTGGCTTCCTGTGACATCATCCATCCACTGAGTGAGAGCATACGGGTCGGCCAGTCTGGTCCCGTTGGTCAGTGTTTACTTATTCAAGTAACACTGGTTTGCCATGGCGAAGACAGGCGGCTTTCCCACTTCCTGCTCATGTCTGCTCAGCTTTTTTTTGATCGAGACGTTCAGGAGGTTTTTACGAAGCGCTGAATTATCTGCAGGTAGACGAGGACCTGCTCCTTATGTAGATATAAAAGGCTCATTTTAAGGTAACGAAAACATAGTGATACTTATTTTCATTATAGACAAAAAAATATCTACTTATTCCTTTTCTGCTGATTGTATCCCCATCAGTCCTGCACACTGGAGCTTTAATTTATATTGTAGCAGCAGCAAAATTAAGTCACATTTTAAATGATGTCACTATAAATCAACTTTTACGTCACCTGGAGCTTTATAAGGCAGATTTTATGCCATGGATACTTTGCTTTTTTATCCCAAACTCTCAAAATGTCATGTTGCTCAAAGGTCACAGAGGAAATTAACCTTTCAGTCTAATATATGACGTGTGCCGCACTTTATTTTTATACTCAAATACCATCAGTTTTATACCCATCATCAGTGTTGTGAGCCTTTCTCTGGTCACCCAGCCATGACAGCAGTGTGTGTCTCCCTCTGCAGGTGCCTGCAGGAAGAGCATCAGCTGCGTCCAGCCTCCCTGCCCGCCATCCCCAATCCTTTCCCTGAGCTCTGCAGTCCAGCAAGCTCCCCCGTCCTCAGCCCCATACAGAGCTCCGACAACCACGTAAGTACGGCCATAACCACCTTACCTGCGCCAATACACACTCACTGATGCTCTACAGGTGACGGGAGGAGGGAGGAGAGGAAACAAGGAAACATCACCCACTGTTTTGTATGTTTTTGAAATAGTTACCGGTCACTACCACCAAAACTGTTAATACTTGATGTCCTTTGTATGACCACCATCACAAGAGAGGGTGTGTGTGTGTGTGTTTTGAAACCAGCTGACTGGCCTGTTATGTTCAGGTCAGAGCAGCATGTGTTGACTTTGGCGGCAGACGGCCTTTCCTTCCATTACACAACAGCTCACCCTGGGTTATCTGACCATATGTGTGTGTGTGTGTTATAATGGAAGCATCATTATCAATCACATGTACACACACAGACACACACACACACACACACACACACGGGGTGACAGACGTGTTTTGCTGTGGATGGAGGTGAGCGATGTCCTCAGGATGCTGCAGACAGAGCGCAGACTTCCGCAGCAGAGCTGGGAATACAACTCTGAACCTTCTGAGTCTGTCTGCTGGCTCCGGCAAGACAGGCGCCCGTTTCCGGTTCACACGCTTAAACCTTGGCTCTTAACGTCACCGTATGTGCGTGTGTGTGTGTGGGTGTGTGTGTGTGTGTGCCCTTCCTTCCCCCGGTAGAGCCTCCTGTCCCAGGAATGTTCCATCTCTCTCAGGATGCCCACCCTGAACCACAAAAGTTATTTTAGATGCTCAATCTTTCTTCCAAACTCCCACACATAGATACATGCATAGGTGGCATTATTAAGATCACGCGCACACACACACACACACACACACACACACACACGATAAGACAACGCATTATCTTTGCACATCGTTGACATCATCTCACAAGGTCTGGAGTCAGAGAGCTGGTTTGCAGTTTGCACAAAGGATCTTTTCTGTGTGTTTGTGTGAGAGCGGACCAGATGTTGCATCATGTCTCGTTCCCAGAACATCTTCATTCTGTCCACTTTTGTTCACTTTAGTTCATTTCACTGTCGTTTCATGTGTCTGAGGAGGCAAGTCATCGGCCAGCACGCGCTAAAGACAGGGAATATAATTTGTGTTTCGTGATAACGAGTGTATTAAATTCAGTTTAATATTTCCTGAAGCTGCTCATCATGTGCTTTGTGTCTGACATTGATGACTCGTCCCTGCTGTAATGTTTCTGTCACATTATGGTTCGGAGGTCTGGCAGCGTTTTGCTTCTTCTTCATTGCATGTTTCATGGCATGTTACCAGGTTGGAGTCGGCAGGACATTCTTCAAGACTACTTACTGGTAGAAAAACAGGAAGATGGTAGTATTCTTCCAGCGCAAACGGCGATAAAGCTCGCACTGGAAGGAAAGATCACTTCCAACATTCCTTCATGTTTATCATTGTCAGCAAAAGAGAAAACGCTTTTGGCTGAACAAGCAGAGGAGGTGGCTGGGAGACTGATAAATGAGTGGCTGGAGGTGATGGGGATCATGGGAAACAGAAAGCAGCAGTGTAAAGAAACATCACTTATCATCATTTAACGATATGATGGTCACACATTAAAGGGACAGTTCAGCCCCAAATCAAACATACATATTTACCCTCTTACCTGTAGAGCTGTTTACCAATCGAGATTGTTTAAGTGTGAGTTGCCAGGTGTTTGAGATGGCGGCCATAGAGATGTCTGTCTTCTCTCCAATAAAATGGAGCTAGATGGCACTCAGCTTGTGGTGCTCACAGCGCCAAAAAATACAATTTAAAAACTCAACATCAATGTCTCTTTCCAGAAATCATGACCAGGTTAGTTTTTTTTTTTAGTTTTTTTTTTGTTTTTCTTCTTAAAGTTAGCTGCTAGCTGCTGTCGGCTACTTTTTAAATCTCCTGCAGTGAGTCTCACACTTAGAGGCTGTACATATGCGCCTTTTTTGCACCTTCAAATTCATTGTTTTCAATGTAGACGTGTGGCAGGCATGCTCAACTGCCAGAGCGACGCGATCGTGCAGCACATGTGTTCCCAAGGGTCTATTTTTTTTTTCAGGGCGCAGGAGATAAACAGAGTTCAACTTCAAAGCAGTCCAAAGCAGCAGCACACACCACATGTGACGAGGAATGACCAGTATCCAGATATCGTTCCCCTCCTGCGTAAAAACATGTTGATGGTAACTATGGAGGAGAAGCTTATCATTTTAGTGCAGGGATACCCAAAGCTGTACATCTGTGCCACAGACAATATTTTTGGCATAATACACCCTTACGGAAGAACACCTGGAAGAAGATCAGCTCTGCATTCACGATCTCTGGTAAATAGGCTATGATACAGTGCTGGTTATGATCGCCTAGCAACCTTAGACGCAACCTGCCTCTGCGCCCTTGAAAGTACACACAGAGTAGGCGCAAGAGTAGCGCCCAGCGTCCGACCTCACATTTTCCAGCCCTTTGAAGACACGGGATACATGTCATCAAAATATCATGCCTGTCCTGCTGGCTTTCCTGTTCATACCGACATTGTTTTGGTGCTGTACCTTCAATGCCAACAACAACTCTGTCCACCCATTTGGCGACAGAGCTGTTAGGCGGAATAACAGTGTGAAATTCCTGCCTCGAAAAGTCAGTGTAAAGGAGTTTAAGTCTTGGTTAACAGTGGTATGAGTGTGTAGCATCCTAAACTAGTCCCAGCATTAACTGGCCGCCTTGGGTGGATGCATGTGGAACCATCATGTACTTTCATCCTTTCTAATGCCATGGTTAGCCTTAGGCTGATTGAATGAAACCATCTCTGATCCAATCACTTAAGTTCCACAAGACCACCGTCACACTGGCCAAGACATGGCCTTTAACTCCAGACATAAGTGCATCTGTTGACATGCTATGTTGTGTAATGTCGTGTGCAAGCTAACGGAAAGGCTAAAGGCTAGCGAAGGCTGTGAAGATGTACATGTATGCATGGAGTCAGTTTAGTAATGTTGCCAGAGGAGCACCGAGAAAGGGTTACACAACAATGCAGACTCTCAGACAAGCTGTGCGTTGGTCTGCAGACATAGTTGCATCGTATTTGCATTGGCATGGTTTTATCATAGGATCTCTCTCCCTCCAGCTGTAGAGTTGGAATCTGAACATTCTTCACTAAGCTTCGGTCTTTCTCAAATACACAGCTTATATTGTGAGCCAGCAGAACTGTGTGTGTGCGTGACATGTCAAGTTTATGGCTTGCGTTGCCTTTGATAACATAAATGGATTTGTCCTCAGGGGGTCATGAAGAGATAACGTGAGTCTGCATCTCCATCAGACTCTTCCAAAATAAGTTCAGGGGGATACCCATCTCATAGTAAATCTCATTGAACTCTTTACCTTGAATCTGGGAGCTGCTAATGCCAAAGCTTAATCACTAGTCCGTCTGTAGTTATTGCTGAACTCTGATAGTTTCCCACGCATGTTGTGGCAGTCTTACACCACACAGTTGATAATATTACCCCGGCTTTCACAAGGATTTGTTCAGATCCTGTCTGTCATCACTGGGCAAATGGGTTTGCTTTGGCATCGTGACTGCGGCTGTAACGCAACTTGTGCTTTTATTTGTGGCCAGAGACGCGGCATTACAAACATCAGGGACAGCAGGGAGGCCCAGTGGTTAAAGAGACCATCTCTCAAGCAAAGAACTAGGGTTCAAGCCCCCTGTGTTGGCAAGCATCCACCCTGCTGAAGTAGCTTAAGCAAGAAGCTGAACCCCTTCCAGCTCTGGGTTCACTGCTCTTTAAATGACCCTGACCTTTGACCTCCCTGTGGAGAAAGGCAAGAGAAAAGACGGTTTTAATGACGAAAAAGGGATGTGAAAGAGTCACGTTCTCATGGTTTTTTCTATTCGGTGCATGGTGTGATTATTTGGTGCTTGCGAAATTGCAAAACAAAAATTTAAAGCAGCTAATTGACAAAGAGGATCGCACTTTGGTGCTGTCTGCAGTCTCGATTGGTGTTTTCTTTTTTAATCATGTCAGCTAGGGACGGCAGTGTGGTCACTCAGCCCACCAGTTTGGTCCAGACTGAAAAACCTCAACAAATTTTGGATGAACTGCCATGACCTTTTGCAAGAACACTCATAGTGCCCAGAGGAGGAATCCTATCATCTCTCGCGATCCCCCCGACTTTTCCCTTTACCACATGGGTGTCAGACACGATATTAATGCACTTGTGAAGGCTAAGAGGTGCAAGGTTTCAGAAGCAAGTGAGTAGCCTACTTTGTTTCAGAGGCTTTTCCACCGTGACCACAATACAGTTCTCTAAAAAAAAAACAATGAAAGCTTCTTGTGGTCGTGTTTTAAAGATATAAAACAGATGCTAAACATTATCAATCAGCAGCTTAAGTACAAAAGAACCTGTGTCAGACTTTGGTTTTAAAACGATATTTGTGGAACCTTCTTGCTAAGGCACTGCAAAAACTTCAGTGATTGGTTTGTAAAGCAGGGGATGACTTAATGTCCTTCCTCAGTAGCTTCCACTTCAGTTTGTTGTTGTTAGCCGCTGCTGCTAATTAGCTCGTGCTATCACTCTGAAGACGGTCCTTCAGTGCTGCCTCTAACGTGTTTAACAGCTGCAGGAAGTTTGTGGATCTGGTGGGGTGTCATGTGATAGGAGATTAGACCTTCGGTGCAATCCTGTTGTCTTCCTCTGGAACTGTGAAAGACGTCCACACTGTGACATGTTTAACTCTCTACAGTGTACTGCAGTTGTTGTTCTTCTTCTCTGTGTTGATTAGCGGCTTGCAAGCCAAGTTTAAAGGAACTCGTACAACCACCCAAGTTGTCAGTGTGTAGATCCTGCCTGTGTTAGTGAATGGAAGCAGTCTGGTTTCATATTATCTGCTATGATTTTAATTATCGGAATAAGGCATAATAGTAAATATGTCCCATTATCGACAGATAATTTATCGGCTCAAAATATATATTGTGCATCCCAAAGTAATACAATTTAAAATAGTGTATAAATACTATGGTAAAACAATAAACAGTAA